CATCAAGCTATGTTTGTGTCTCTGTGTTTGTGCCTCTAGTAGGCATTTTTATCCGTGATTTGTGGGGCTGTCCGCCTGTTCATTTACGGGGACGTTTTTTTTTTTTTCGTTGAAAGAATTTAAGTTGCACCGGTTGTTGTTGTAGACGGACATATTCTAGATTCTTTAACTATGGATTTTATAAAATTTGTCGAACGATGTTTGGCGTGTGTTTATATATGATAAAATATTTATCAGAAATCCCTCGATATATTTCCTGCTTAAAGAAAGATGTCCTATCTTAATTAGGGTAGGATATATAAAATCATACTTATGGCCTGTTTTGTTTCTGGGTATGACGATCGAGCGTAAATGGTCGTCCAAAAGTATGTCACACATATATTCGCACATAATGAAATAAATAATGTGAAGACTTTTCTTCCTTTCTACTGACGTTGGTCAATTAATACAAAACCATTTGTCGTAAGAATCAGTTATTCAGCTAGAAAGAGAACAGGCTAAATTTGTTTTGTACCTGGCCCACTTTTTTCCCTATGGAGCAATGATGAGAGGAAAAAGGTCATTCAGCCTTTTAGTAATGGTATCAACATTCATACTCTGGCTTCCATCTTCAAAGTTCATTCAAGAACCATCGAGAGAACGGTGAATAACTTTGAAAAGATGGAAAAGTAGCGAATAAAACTTGATCGGGACGTTACGACAACAAAATGGATCATCATTTCAACTTAGAGCTAAATACATTGTTATTGTTTAAAGTAGAGACCAATAGTGTTATAAAAACCTCGGAGAATTCCACTTAGTTATTTTAAAACATTTGTAAGATACAACCATTCAAAGCTTAATCTAACAACTGGAGAGTTTTGCTGTTTTGGGTAATTTTGTTGTTAAACCCGGTATATACACAATTATACTTCAACATGAAAACAATAGACAAAAACTAATCCATGAAGCAATATACATCAAACAGTTGTAACCCAACCTAAACAAAATGGAATCTCTACAAATATACTTAAATGTCTATAATTGGTAACAGAAGCCATTGGTTTATACCAACGGCTTCCCATACTTAATACTTCTCGAATTCACTCTCGCGTGGTCATGTGTGACGTCATGAGCTGCGGTGTGTTTTTCGCTTCTAACGTCTTATATGCACGTGTTTATCGTAGCTTGGAAATCATCCATGTAAACAGAAACAGACTATCATCACTGTCTTGTCTGTATATTGCTTAATATATTGTAGTGTAATTGTCATCTTTGATAATGGCTTATGTAAGCTGAAAGCTTAGATTGGATTAAAAAAAAATGTATCAATATTGTGATTTTCTTTCTTCGTTTAATGACAATGTTATTAAGCTTATCAGACGTTATGAAAAAGAATTTACATAAAATAAATAGACAACACGTGTCTATATTATTTAATGAAACATGTATGAATGAAAAAATGCCGCCTAAACACACACAATATATATATATATATATATATATATATATATATATATATATATATATATAAATAAATAATTAAGAAATAGACAACCTAAGTTTCCATGACTATAATTTATTTCCCCAGAAATAAATTATATTTTCTGGGGAAATAAATTATAATTATGGAAACTTAAGGTTGTCTATTTCTTAACTATTTAATAGTTGCTCTGGTTTTACATTGAGCTCTCTGGATCACCTTCTCCTTGGAATTATCAAACCCTTCATTACCTTACCTATATATATATATATATATAAAAAGTGAAGAACATTGAAGTCAACACTTAGAAGTGACAGGCTGTTTCATACTAAACGCAATCATCAGGCCTATACTAGATAGATAGATAGATAGATAGATAGATAGATATAAATTTAACGATAAAGACGATAACCTTCATTCTCGGAGTATCAAAATGACGTTTTTTTTTCGATTGACACCGCTTTTGTTTTTCACATACTTTCTCTTCTTTAACAATGTCTCATTATTTTAAAATGATTAAAATTGCAATAAAACCTAAACATGAAAGAAAATATAGACATTTTCTTTCTTCTTAAGAACAAAAATAAAAAAAAACACTATTTATTAGATTGTTTATTGGAATGGTTGGCTAAGCAACGGTTAATTACCAGTCGATTCAAACTTTATAAAATGGTGACTAATAAAGATATCCTTATAATTTACTGATGACATTAGGTTTATAATACCCAGAACTTCATACAAAGATGTTCTCAATGACACATGACACAGTGGAAAAGGCGTTAGTTAGATTCAGTAACAGGACCCAAAGAATGTGAGTTCAATACCTGGTTAAGGCAGTGGAGAACTTGGAGAGGGGAATTAACAGGAGATAACTGACAACTGACATCCATTAAACATGGCACATGGAATTAGAACGGTCTACCCCAATGAGCCAAATAAAGTGTTCATTTCGACATCTCAACCACCTGAAGAAGGCCGAGACGTTGTAATAAATATGGCGACAAAGATGAGGACAATAGTCCGAATAATGTAAATAGTGTAAAAAAAAAATGTTTTCATATTTATTTCTTTATGAATGGGTAAATGATGAATATGGCATTGGATTAGTTTTAATTCTGTTTAAATGTTGTAAATATAAAATTATTCTTGCAAATAAAGTTTCATTGAAGGCGAATATTTTTCGCTTGGTTCCGTTTGTGTTTTGGCGTGGGTTTATCTTCTTTTATATATATATATATATATATATATATATATATATATATATATGTGTGTGTGTGTGTGTGTGTGTGTGTGTAGTTTAAGTTTGGTGTATACGAATAAATTCCAATAACCAACAAATACTATTCTTAAAAGAGCGCTCAATACAGAGTAGAGTAAATATAAGTATTTATTCGCATATTATAACATAAATATGTTATAAAATCATTACAAAAATAGAACACCATCACTTGATAAGACACCAGAAGTGTTGAAACAAAATGGCTATTTTTGTAGTGATTTTGTAGACATTTTTATATTTATATGTTCTTTTTATATAGATACAAATATTTAAGTAAATGCTCTCTTTATAATAAACAGTATTAACGATATTTACCGGCTTGAATGCCCGAGAAATTGTCATAGAAATATGTGTCCTCCGACAGGAATCGAACCTGTATCCTATACGGAACCGTCATATAGCCTGACGTGCCTTTAACCGATTAGCAAGGTCGATTTTACTGTTTTAAAATACAATTGTCCATGATTTTCTTTTAACGCCGAAAAGATTTGTAGGATAGGTTCGTATAAATAGAATATATATTCTTTCGTTTGCTTTATTTTCTTTTACTTTTAGTGCTTAGATGAGTAACAGCTTGGGAACACCAGGAGCTCTAAGCTAAGATTTCCGGGTGGGATCATGTATAATAGCACAGAATTATTAATCGAAAAGCTGAGTTTCAATTCCAATTGGGTCTGCTATATGCACTTACGCGCAAATAGTCTTGGGAAAGATATGAATCCACTTCCCCCACATATGGGTTAATTAGTAAGATATCTATCAATAATTAATATTATCTAAAAAGAAATCTTACAATCTAGAAAATATTATCTTGCTTTAAATAACCAGCAAAGGCGTAGAAAACGAATCAATCACTGAATGAAGCGATAAAATCAGAAATTTTTCCCCGTGGATCCTAATGTTGCTTTCCGAGAATGACCAGAAATCACTATGATAGCATTTCGCTTTAATATTTACTTGCTAACCACGACGCCAAAGCAAAGCCACGTTGAAGCTTCTTTCGAAATATGAGACAAGGTAAAAAGAATTGCTTTTATTTATTTATTTTTTTTTTTTTTTACTATGTTATGAGCGACCCGTAAGAGGTTAATTCTATCAGTGTTACCCGTTTATACTGAAGCGATTTGAGATCTAAGAAAAACAAAATCATTTTATCTTAATTGTAAAGAGCCGAACAATTCTCTCTCCTCCGAGCGACTTACCATTGCAACACGACTCCGTACCCTCCTCCCCGTCTCCACTGGGCAAGCTTTTATTTTCTGAAAATGGTATACGTTAAATTAAAACGAGCTTATCTTGGATCAAAACCATCATTTCTGTCTTACGGCGTGCTACATAATCTTTTGTTGTTATATGCTACCTTTATTGAATTAGACTGTATTTTATTTTAGGTCCAGGATTTCGGGGGAAGAGATCGCTCTATTTATCTATCTATCTATCTATCTATCTATCTATCTATCTATCTATCTATCTATCTATCTATGTAGGCTATCTATCTATCTATCTATCTATCTATCTATGTAGGCTATCTATCTATCTATCTATCTATCTATCTATCTATCTATCTATCTATCTAGGTAGCTACCTAGCTATCTATTTCAGTCTCCTCATATCTATCTATCTATCTATCTATCTATCTATCTATCTGTACTATTTATTATATCTAGCTATCTATTTCGGTCTCTTCATATCTATCTATCTATCTATCTATCTATCTCAATTTGTTCACATCTATCTACCTATCAATCTATCTATCTCAATTTGTTCACATCTATCTATCTATCTATCTATCTATCTATCTATCTATCTATCTATCTATCTCAATTTGTTCACATCTATCTATCTATCTATCTATCTATCTATCTATCTATCTATCTAGGTAGCTAGCTAGCTAGCTATTTCAGTCTCCTCATATCTATCTATCTGTACTATTTATTCTATCTAGCTATCTATTTCGGTCTCTTCATATCTATCTATCGATCTATCTCAATTTGTTCACATCTATCTACCTATCTATCTATCTATCTATCTATCTATCTATCTATCTATCTATCTCAGTTTGTTCACATCTATCTATCTACCTCAATTTGTTCACATCTATCTATCTATCTATCTATCTCAATTTGTTCACATCTATCTATCTATCTATCTATCTATCTATCTTTTCTTTTTTCTTTTTTACACATTTCTTTACCCCTCTCTTTTCTCTTTATCTTTCTCTCTTTAGAGACTGCAGAAGGAATCAGGACAAACATTTGAAGGCTTGCTACCTATATAATAACTATATTTCTTACAATATACTAAAACTCGACACCAAGATAACACGTGCTATTCCAAGCATATTTTTTTTAATGATCTCGAGTTCTTAATATCTGTTTCAATTTCTTTCAGTAAACTTTATATGTTGATATTCAAAGTAATGTGAAACAGTAAAATTGTCCAAATCGTGTAAAAGTAAAGTTGTCAAGTTGTTAGATTAAGCTCTGAACCGTTGTATCTTAGAAATGATTAAAGATATCTTACTGGAATTCTCTGATTTTTTTTTGTAACCCTATTGGACTCTACGTCGAGCAATAAGAATGTATAATTACTCTCCAAGCTTAACAGAAGAATAGTGATGAAATCGATCATAAACGAAATTGACATGTTCATTATTAATTAATCATAGCTAAGGATCGGAAACTCATAGAAGATTGAAATAAACTTCATATATATATATATATATATATATATATATATATATATATATATATATATATATATAGGGATTGGTCTATACGGAATAAATTCTCATAACCAACAAATACTATTCTTAAAAGAGTGCTCAATACAGAGTTGAGTAAATATAATCATTTATTCGCATATTATAATATAAATATGTTATAAAATCACTGCAAAAAATAGAACGCCATCACTTGATAAGACACCAGAATTATTTAAACAAAATGTCTATTTTGTAGGGATTTTATAACATATTTCTGTTATAATGTTCAAGTAAATAATTATATATATATATATATATATATATATATATATATATATATATATATATATATAGGATCATTTTCAAGTTATTCAAGATGATCTTCACCCTCTCTAAACTTTTAACTTTCTGTCCTGGAGTAATATTTTTTTTTATTTTATATTGTTAGTTTTTCAATTGCGATAAAAAAAAGTATTTTTAAATAATATTATAATATTATGCTCTACTTATTATCGAACACTTTAAAAAAAATAAATGCTAAAGAACTGTGGATTATTAATCTGACTGTGCTTTCTCTTTGTTTGTGCATATATATATATATATATATATATATATATATATATATATATATATATATATATATATATAAAGACATTTTTACGTTTATACGTTCTGTTCTATAGATACAAATATTTAAGTAAATGCTCTGTTTATAATAAACAATATTAACGACATTTACCGGCTTGAATGTCCGAGAAATTTTCATAGAAATATGTGATCTCCGAGAGGAATCGAACCTGTATTCTATACGGAACCGTCATATAGCCTGAAGTGCCTTTAACCGATTTGGCCACAGAGGAGCGTTCGGTTAGCAAAGTCGATTTTACTGTTTTAAAATACAATTTTCCATGCTTTTCCTTCGGACATTCATATCTGCTCGATGCGTATCAAAATGTAAACAAATGACGTCACACAATATGAAAAACTCCATCAATTATTTTAAGACATTTTTTATGTTTATTTTTTCTTGCTGGACTTTGTCCATTTCATAATGTGTGACGTCTTTTGTTTACATTTGTATACGCATCGAGCAGATATGAATGTACGAGAGAAAAGCATGTAGAATTGTAGTTTAACAACAGTAAAATCGCCCTTGCTAGCAGAAACGCCCCTCTGTAGCTAAATTGGTAAAGCATGTCAGGCTATATGATGGTTCTGTATAGGATACAGGTTCGATTCCTGTCGGTGGATGCATATTTTCTATGAAAATTTCTCGAACATTCAGACCGGTAAATGTCGTTAATACCGTTTATTATAAGCAGAGCATTTACTTAAATATTTGTATCTATAAAAAAAAAGAACGTATAAACATGAAAAAATGTCTTAAAATAATTGTCGGACCTTATATAAGAATATGATGTTGCGAGGTTATTTTTTAAAATTTTGTGCTGTTTGTTTTTCAATAGATAACACGTGTATTTGTCTAGTCAAGTAATGTTTTCGAATCATTAGACTATCATTTGCTGTTAATATTATCTTTATTGAAATAGACGATATTTTAATTTAAATCCAGGATTTCAGAGGAAGAGGTCTTTCTTACTATCGCTCTATTTCTGTTTTGTTTTTTTTTTTGTTTTTGTTTTTGTTTTTCGTTTCTTTGTTGTTTTTTTTTATTATTTCCTTGCCGTATTCTTTTTCTTTACCTTACTCTCTTTTGGAGAGTGCAGAATTTGATTAGCTATATATTAACTCCATATTGCAAATTAGGGCGCGGTTTCGAATCCAGCCAAAAGGTGGATATTTTTATTTAATAAGATTAATAGATTATAGTTTCATCCAAAGAAAATCTGTAAATGATATAGAACTATGAACATAAATTCTGCACTATGGTTTAATTTTGAATTAAATTTTAATTTAAGAAATCTATTTCTTGATTAACTTATTGATTATAATGGTCCTAGTGTTAAAGCAACACCGTATAAAAAGTCAACCGGTATATATTCTTGCCTCTTAAACTATGAAAATGAATACACTAAAAGAAATGAATTTGCTGTCATAATCGATTTAATCCAAGAAGTGTAAAGGATTTTTTATTAAAGAATTAAACAAAATACATTAAAGTCCTGCTATGCTTTCACAAGAACAAGATCAGGACAAAAACCGAATTCTGTTGCCATAACTGGTCTGGAGATACAAATTCTTCAATTTCCAGGTCCAAAAGCGTGTACGCGGCCTTCAAGGAAAATATATTTCTGTGTATGTTGAGATGAAGACGGAATTATTTGTTAATAAGCTGCTGGAATCAGGAGAATATGCAAAACTAAATTGAGCAACTGGCACGTTTAAATAGTGATTGCAAAGGGAAAGAAAAACGATTTTGTTGTAGAAGCACTCCTGATCTCGTTGCAAATATAAGAAATGATCGTGCAGCTGAAGTGATAATTTTTATGTGGTCTCTTCTCAAAACGAGTTTCGATCACACTATCCTTTTCTTTTAAAGATTTCGTCTGTTCATCAGGTAATAAAAGTTACAAATACCAAAATATTTTTCCACTCATATTTTGAATTGTTCTTTTACATGAATGTAAGCAATGCTACCAGATTGACATTTATTCCCTTGTGCATATTCATTGAAACAAAACGAATAATTCCGTTATTATTTACTTTTTTTTCGTATTTTCCCCATTTAAACATGACCGACTGCATACGTTAGTACTTCGTATGTCCATTCCACGAAGTTGTTCTTTGACGATTGTCCACTGATCCTCGATTGGATTTAAATCAAGAAAGTTTCCGGGACAGTGTATAGACTTTGATTTACTCGCTGGTAATATCTGCCAGTGTGTCTGTGCAGCGTTACAATTCGTACGCTTACTTTGAGTAAAGTCCACCGCAGACAATGGCTGTAGGACAACTAATCAACAATCGAGACAATAGTGTCTGGGTGGGATAAAAATCTGTTGCAATTACGGATGAGGCAATATTATTCAAGAACAAACGAATTTTATCATACACCCCGAAAATAGATCCATATTGCTTGCATACTACTGCCAATGACCTAATATGAGATAGAAATGGATTACACCCTGTCACTCCAGTGGATCTAAAACTGATAATATAGTGAAAGAAAGGAAACTAAAGTCGTTTACTTAATTTAAATTAATTTATAATATATATATATATATATATATATATATATATATATATATATATATGAATGTCGGAGGACGAATATTTTCTGTGAAATTGCTCGGACATTCAGGCCGGTAAATGTTGTTTAATACTGTTTATTATAAACATAACATTTACATAATTATTTGTATGTATAAAAGATGTGTCTTAATATATATATATATATATATATATGTGTGTGTGTGTGTGTGTGTGTGTGTGTGTGTGTGTGTGTGTGTATGTATGTATGTATGTATGTATGTATGGAAAATTAATTTCTTTAAATAATATGTGGAAATAACCACTCTTCGCCTGATGAAAATCGAAAGACCTGAAACATGTGCAGTAAAAATATGGAAAATAAAGTATAATATATATTTTAAAAATTCTCATAAAACCCCAAAAAGTTTGCAGCGTCTCTATTTTCTTTACGAGAGAAACGTGTATATTGTAAATCGAAGCGACACGCCGCAAAATTTTTGGATTTTACAGTAATATATATTTTTGTCAACTCTTTATTTTGTTATGAATATTCTTTTATTATCTATGTTGCTGTAATAAAATGGATAATCATTTCGTGATAGAATCATGTTTGTATGACAAATATATGAAACGTGTTAGAAGGACAAAGAAAGCCAAAGTTATTATCAACTGATACAAATGAATGTCCTACTTTAAAATAAAATTACTGCCACGTTTACATCCAACAAATTAGAAAATTATCAAGAAAAACCTTTCGTTTCGGCAGTCATTCGTTTGCTATCAAAATAGCAGACGACAATGTACTGACATGTACGGGACAATTGGAAAAATGTCCGGAGGAGAAGCACGAGGTGTCGTCGTTGCAGAAGACCGCGTCATGTCCTCGCAATGACACCAATATTAAATTCATATATCACTGTGTCAAGCGAGCTACCTTTGGTCACGTGACTCTGACCTTTTTCTTTTTTTTGTTTGTTGTAATCTCTCTATCTCTTCCACTTTCGATCGCTTTACGTCAATAGAGAGCAGGGTGGAGGGGCAATGATACGGAATATATCGTTCGCATTTTCCTCCTTAACGTCGTAATTTCTGGCACCGCAGTAATGCTTGTGTGTTTACCTAGCTTGCCTTCCTTTTCGTTAGCGTCGACGACCAAAGATCTCTTGGCTTTTAAAGCGTGTTACTCACCCTCACAAAACCCAGGTCACGGTCTCGCACAACATACACCAGACCGGACATCAGCTCTTGTGAAAGTAGTCCAAAGGTTCTTTACACCAACTTTCATCTCTTCCAAAATCTGAATTATGGATAAATCGAAAGGTAGGCGTTGGAATTGACAAAGAAAGATGGCTTAAAGCCGGTAATGCACACAAGGGTATAAGGTCCAAATGTCGTTAAAAAA